TTGTGAGTTTGTATTACGCAATTATGAGAAAAAAAGTCAGAATTGTGAGTTTGTATGACGCAATTATGAGAAAAAAAGTCAGAATTGAGTTTGTATATCGCAATTATGAGAAAAAAAGTCAGAATTGCAAGTTTGTATCACGCAATTATGCGAAAAAAAGTCAGAATTGCAAGTTTGTATCACGCAATTATGAGAAAAAAAAGTCAGAATTTTTAGATAAAAAGTCGCAATTACCTTTTTTCTTTTTTATTCAGTGGCGGAAATGGGCTTCCATAGGATTGAAGTAAAATCAATTAAATAAAATATAAATCTTACATGAAAACCTTCAGCTTGAAAAACTTAAAAAACAGGAGTTTTAGACCACTAATATGAATGGAGTCATATTTCATATCTAAAATTTACAACATATTTTACAAAAGTACTATTCCCTACTTTCAGGGTAAAACTTTTTTTCCAATTGCAGAAGTTACTTGGTGCACCTTTAAGTATAACAAAAGGATAGCTTATATTATTATTTTTGTGTTTCTGATTATCAAATGATACAGTCTTGGCACAGCTAAACTGACAGAAGTACCAAACGATACATCAATCAACGTCTACTGCAGTTAAATCAGTTCTGTCCACGTAATTTGTGTCAAAATTGTTTTTGTTGAGAAAGAATTAGCAAATGTGTTTATAAGTACTTACAGTATGTCACTATTACGAGAGAGAGAGAGAGAGAGAGAGAGATAATGAGAAATGGTGAAGAGAATGAGCAAAAAAGTGTGTTTGCTGATGGACTCTAGTAGCAGTCAGAGACATTCCGGATGAGATAACTGAGATTACTGAACATTGATTATTGAACAAGCATACTTGTGCATATGTATGTGTGTGTGTTTGTGTGTGTGTAAGTGTGGGTGGGAATGCGTGTGCTTGCTCTAATTCCATCTAATTGCATGATATGGTAAAATGCCACAAATTCTCACTGAATCAGATGTTATTGTTATATTTTGTTAATAGAAGACGTTACAGTGGTTATTAAAGTCTTTAAGATGACATATACAGTACCATGAGGTCCTGAATAAAGATGAATCAGTACAGTGAAGCAGACTGCTGGATGATGCCATTTCATGTACTGGGATTCCAAAATGACAAAACTATTCCACAGAAAAAATATAATAACAGCATGCAGTTTTGGAATAACACAATGGTGAGTAAATAAGACAGAATTTTCTTTATTGGGTGACTTTAATTCTTAGGTAATTCTGAGAGAAGGTGAAAAACTGTAAACTAATTTATGACTGTGGCTCGTGCTGCTCGTGCTATATATATATATATATATATATATATATATATATATAAACATTCACTAATTGAAATAAAGCTGAAATAAGATAGCAATATTACATGAAAGTAATTTGATGTAATTTTAAGAACTAAAATCACAAACTATAACTGAAATGCAAATAAATGAATGCTATATAATATAGAAATATAAAATGAATGAAAATAACAAAAGTCTTCATCAAAATTACTTAAATGAAAACTGAAAATATAAAAATAAAAACTAATTAGAAATATGAATAAATACTACTTTGCAACTAGATTTATAATACAGTGTGTCCCTTATTATCTTATTATGCCATAAGAAAAAACAACAGAAATAAGGGCAAGATACAGTTAGGTTGATATACATGCTATTATTACCAGGTCAACACACAGAAACTTTCTGGTGCTGGCCTTGTTTATCATTTCAAATACATTGGGATATATTACAAGGTACAGTATTGTTTGTGTTTCAAAAACCAATATGAATAAGCTGGATGACAAAAACCTTGCAAGTGAAGTTTGGAGGATGGGATTCTCCACAAACAGGGTACAAACTAGTGTCCTGTTGCTTTTTTGTAAAATAAATAAATATAAAAATGTCATGTTCTTCAGACAAAGAGCTATTAATATGTTTAATAAACTATTAGCTAACATAAAATTCACAGCATGCCAATAGCTAGTTTCAAACGTCAACCATTCAACCCTGTTATTAAGGATACATCAAGGGAAAAAATATATATTTTTTGTTACTTTATGGGACATACAAGTTTATCAATAACTACAAACCAACATTTGAGCCCAAACTAAACCCCCCCAAATGAAAGATTTCGGCAAAATGCCTCCTTTCACTGACACATAGTTTTATTTTTTATGATTGAAGTTATTTTAAGCCCTATTTTGTACCCTATTATTGGAAAGTATTGGCATTTTGCCCTGTTTACACACTGATCTGTCTCTTAAAGTTTCACACATAGTGGCGATGGATTACAGTCTACAGGAAACGCAAAATAGAAATCTTTTCAAGTAGTTACCAGTCTCTAACTGTTTAATGCCCATAGTTTTTCAACCAAATGTATCTTGATACTCAATGGATGCTCTCATCTGTAGATGCACCCAAAAGCATCATGAAGCAGTCAAACAGCATTCTGGATCTCATGACACATATCCTGACCTCAATACAGCGATACTCATTTATATTTAGCAGCCCTTGGTTTTCCCAAATACCTCCATTACACTCTAGTTAATCATAAAATAAATTTTTAAAAGATATGCCAGGCATAATAATGCCAATACATAATAATATGTATTAGCATGAGTTTGAGAATGCATAAACTGCAAGCAATCAATCAATCAATCAATCAATCAATCACTGTTTTTACAGGGCTTTTCACACTTGAAAATCTATTTTTTGAAACCCCAGGTGAATGTATGTGACCTGTTCTAATAACTGCTTATTTATCTGTGGAAATGTACAACACTACTGTTTAAAAGATTGTGGTTGGTAAAAAAAAAAAGTTGTTTTTTTCATCGTTTTTCGTTCTTCATTACTCCAGTCTTCAGTGTCACATGATTCTCCAAAAATCATTCTAATATGCTGATTTGCTGCTCAAGAAACATTTATTATTATCTGTTTATATGTTTGTAGAAAACTTAATACATTTCTTCGGGATTCCTGTCAAATCCTGTCATGTCAAAATGGGAATTTTATTAATCCAGGATTAAAAGTGGCCTTAATCTGAGGTTTAAAAGAGTTGTTAACCCAAGGTTAAGTGTGAAAAGCCCATGTTTGACTGGTAATGCAGGGGAACTTTAGATGCACGTCTGTCTTTATGTGAGGAAATGACACCGGTACTAAACAAGCGTCATGTTGTTGTAAATACTGCAACACTGACAAGAAGGGAAATAATGATAATGCTATTCAATACTTTGCTTAAATGTAAATGTTCATGGGCTAATTATTACTGAATTCATCCCTTGATGGTCCAAAACACCAATGTTGTCAAACCAAAATAAGTGTTAGCATTCATGCTAGCTCATTTCTTTGGAAATCTCTATGCTTGTGCATGGAATAAATAAATAAATGTCCTGATTGAAAGTTTACATGAAGCATGTCAGTGAAATACAGTTCAAAAGAAAGAACACTTAAAATTAATATAAAGACGTGTTTACAGTAATGCTCTTACAATGAAAGTCAAAGGGGAAAATATTTCAGAGGGTTTAAAGAAAAAGTTATTTCTGTGCAAGATTAATTTCTGGTCGCTACCTACTAGTATCTTTGCATGTGTTATTAATTATTACATTTAACTACGTTACAAGCTAAATTAAACTCTTTTAAATATGTGTATTTGTCAATTTGAAAAAATTATTTACATTTTTATTTTGAATTAATACATTATTGATTTATTGATTTTGCTTTAAAGCGGCACTCCAAGTCCTCCACAGACTGTAAAATTGTAGCACATTTTATAAGAAAATACTATTTCAATATTATTATATTTCAGTTCTACTTCAAAATTTCATGTTTACTTCAATGTGTTACTTGCCATGTGAAATGTATTACCTTCTGAGTGAAAACTGGAAAAATTGGATATAACTTTGCATAGACAGGGTTATTAGGAAATGTCATTACACTAGTGTCATGTCGACACAATGCTAAACTCTTATGACTATAGTTTCAAAACCATGTCTATTTTATCCTGCTGCAATGCTTGTCCCCATAGACTTCCACTGCATCACTGTACACACAAACTGAGGAACAAATCAAAATGATTTTCTGTATTAATCTGCAGCACAGATGTAGAACTTGAACCCGGAACATTCCTTTAACACGATTCTTCCTGAAGGCCAACAACATGTAAAAATCTGACCCTTTACAAAAATATCACATGCCACACATATATACAATAATCATCTCATTCATTCAGCTACACAATCTGCATTATGAAACATGCACATGTTTCAGCTAAAATATATCTGTGTGTCATATACTCTGTAAGACAATAGGGTGTTACAATTAGGGCATGACTTTAAAGTTAATTAATCATGTGACGTAAGGGTTTGCTTGAAGATGACAAATATAGTGCTGCCATTTAACCCTCATGTTCTGTTGAGATTGACTTACTAATAATAACTCATTTCCCTTCAAATTATTTTATTCTGTTCCTCAGACTGAATCAAAACAGATATTACTGAAGTTTAACCCTCTGATTTACCACAAATTTGGCATGCACGTCAGTTAATTATTACACAATACAATAATGTTGTTTCTGTTTGGGGTCAATCTGATAAAAAAAAAAAATGAATGTAAAAAATTAAAATAAACTAGATTTTTATCATTTCTCAAGACATATTGAGTGCTTTTTTTGCCAGCGCAAGAAGGAAATCTAATCTTTTAAAAAGCAAAACTACACTTCTGTATGATTCGTACAAACGCTGGATCACAATTTGTGTCAAAATTAAAAAACAAAAACAATCCATCAATGCTTCCTCCTTCAGGATGTGGTTCATGTGCCTTTTTGCGGTAAAATATTTACTGATGTAAGTAAACTTAAAAATAATTGTTATATTTTATACATTTACTGGACTGAAGCAACTGTGCCCCCTCAAATAAACAAATAAACAAAAACACATATGCAAACTTTTTTTTGTATATTTTGTCTAAAACGTCAATAAACTTAGATTTAATTTGCCAGGCTTTACAGCATAACTTTAAATGACACTTTTTGAGCTATGAAACAACCTTTCAGACCCCAAACAAAATATGAGGGTTAAAATTGCATGGTCATGTGCAGTAATCATATGCCACGATGCAACATGTTTCTGTGATGGATGTTCACATGAACTCACATAAAACGTCACAACATCAGTGTGTGTGATGAACACTAATAAAAGTTCCCTAATCAATATGATCAGGCAAAAAAACATCAGTTCCAACAGAAACACATTTGCATACTTTTGACGACACCGCCTCTTCCTGTTATTAAAATGCTTTGCGAAGAGGCGAAATGCGCGAGTGGCTTCCTGCGTGGTCGCCTAGGCAAACGAATCCTCATTTCCTGGATCCCTAGTGCTGGCCATTCTGACCAATACCTTCTTCCTGAGTGGACTCTGAGCCTCAGGAGGGATGGAGTGCGTCGACTGGTCACTATCCGAAAGCAGTTCCGACAGGCTGCTCAGCGAACTTACATCCGATTGGTCAAAAGAGAATTGTGGGAGGGGCAAACGACTTGGCAAATGAGGTTCATCCTGTATGTCAGGAAGATCTATGGACTCCCGTGGGAGTGCGGAGTCGAAGGATGGTGTCCGCCGTCTTAGGACTGTGCTGTGCTCCTGACCGACCGCTGGAGACGGAAACTCTGCGTCGGTGGGAGGGTCGATGGAGATGCAGGGCGGGCTCATTTTCTCCTTCTTGGGCATTGGAGAAGGTCCAGGTGGCTGCTGCTGAAGCAGTAACTCTTCCCCGTGCGTCGAGTGACGCCGAGGGACTTGGAGTTGAGATAGGAAGCCATTATTTTTTATACTGTTGTACTTCCGTAGACATTGAGCGCTGGTGCCTGGCTGGCGGGATGCCCCACCGTGTAATGAGTCTTGAGACTGGGCTTCAGAACAGAAGGGCGGTTCATAAGGGGACAAGTTATGGTTGCGTGCCACCCGCTGAGAGGCTCTTCTTTGGGGAACGTTCGTGTTGAGTCGGGCCACCTCATGCGAATCCTGTAGTTTGGTTTGTGGATGTGTGTGCGTTATTTCTAGAGGTTTTCTAGATTGCGTCTCGTACGCGGCTTGTCGACAGGGGATGCTGCGTTGGCTGTACACGTGTCTGTTTGTTTGTACGCTCGCTGTCCGGTTGCGGAGGGGAGGGGGAGGTGAGGCCTGGGGCGAACACGGGGCGGATCCACCGGTGAGGGGAATGCTGGGTACTTTGAGATGAAGGTTATCACTGGAGCAGGGTTTGCTCGGGATGTGTAAGGTGTCTCTAGAGTCAGCGTTTGTGGAATCAATGGAGTCGCTCTTTATTGCTTGCTGCAGATAAAAACACATTTACTGTCAGTACACACATTAAAAAACGATAAATTACATGACAATCTTGAATACTTTATTGCTATTTCTAATATAATGTAATAGATTTAATTATTTTATTTAAAATAAATTAAACCTAATACCTAATGTAATACAAAATGATTATAGATTATAGATATATTATAGATTAAATTATATATTAAATCAATCATCAATCATTAAATGATATATGTGACCCTGTACCACAGAACCAGTCTTAAGTGTCAATTTTTTCGAAATGTACAGCTGAATAAATAAGCTTTCCATTGATGTATGGTTTGTTAGGATAGGACAATATTTGGTCGAGATACAACTATTTGAAAATCTGGAATCTGAGGGTGCAAAAAAATAAAAATACTGAGAAAATCGCCTTTAAAGTTGTCCAAATGAGGTTCTTAGCAATGCATATTACTAATCAAAAATTAAGTTTTGATATATTTACGGTAGGAAATTTACAAAATATCTTCATGGAACATGATCTTTACTTAATATCCGAATGATTTTTTGGCATAAAAGAAAAATCTATCATTTTGACCCATACAATGTATTTTTGGCTATTGCTACAAATATACCCCAGCGACTTAAGACTGGTTTTGTGGTCCAGGGTCACATATTTGCATCAAATATTGAAATGATATATATTGATTTTTAATCAAATGTTTCATAATTTAATATGTGTAATTATTTTTTAATATTTTGTGTTTTATAATTTATATTTATTTGATAGATTAAATATTTTAAATAGATTTAATGCAAATTTAAACAAAATGACTATCATATTATTTTGTAATCATTTAGATAATAATAATAACAACAACATTTTATGTAATAAATAGTAATGTAATAAATTTAATCATATAAAATTTTATATATATGTATTAATAGATTAAGTATTTATAATTCTTTAAATAATAATTTATAGAAATGTATATGTACATATAAATTTTAAGTTAAATGATGATAGATAGATAGATAGATAGATAGATAGACAGATAGACAGACAGACAGACAGACAGACAGGCTGATAGACAGATAGACAGATGTCTCTTTTTTTCTGACAGCAGCATAAACTTAACAAATTTGTGTAAAATCTGATGATCATGTTCTCAGCATTATTTGAGAAGGATACAATGGAAGCAAGAACATCTGACATTTGGACAAATGTTCACATGATCAGTATCACAATTTTTGCATTTCATTAGTGACAAAGATCATGAGATTACATTTTATGTAATTGTCTATTTAATTTAATCCATTGTCATCCCTAATATAAAACAGTCATGAGGATGAGAGTCGCTGCATTACCTGTCTCCGCAGGGTTCTGAAGGCATTGCTAGATCTTGCTCTTTGATTTAGAGGATGGGGAGCAGGAGCGGCAGCCAGGTTTGTCTGAGATGCAGTTCCTGGAACCTGCATTACGGCACTATCTTCACAGGGCTGGGTGCCGAGTGAGAGAGAGGAGCCTGAAGAATACACAAACAGCTTTAGTCATATTCTCTCTCTGCACGTGTGCCATGACCAGTAAGAACTGGTTTGGTTTTGTCACCTGGTAGTGTGGAGTCCTGTTTGGAGACTCTCTCATGAATGGACCCATATACAGGCTTAACAGGATAGAGCATGTAACTGTCATTAGGTAAGGACAGCATCCGTGATATAGACGGCCTACTAACTGTCAGGAAGTTGCCGTAACTGGGGTCTTGGCCCTGTGAACACAACAAATCTATATTATGTGCTTTAACAGTTATGTTTCCCCCTGCATATCCATATTAAAAACCCTGCAAAAATATTGTTATTATTATTATTTAAATAACATATTCAATATATTTTTTATTTAATATAATACATAATCTGTCCTGTACTCCAATAAAAAATAGACTGGACCACTTTAAAATTGAATATGTTGATTTGAAACCTTAACTACAGATTTACTTTGAACCCTCTGGTATTAAATGAATATAATTTATTTAGTTTCAATGATATTTATTCTTTAACATTTTGTATTTTAAGGGGATTTCATGGTCCTAGACAATATTGGCCTCTAAATATAAATAATATAAAATTATGCAAATAAAGAAAAAATATTTTAAATATTTATAATTTAAAGGCAGATTAGTGGCATCCGGTGGGAGAAATAAAGAAAATCATATTTAATACCATAGTGTAACCACTAGATACCTGTATAGCCCTATACAGGGCTGTGTATTCCCTAGTGGTTTATAAGAGCATTTTCTGGCATATATATTAAAAACTATCAAAGACTATTTTGTTGTGGCTGATTTGTAGATTGTACCCTCAATAAATTCTCTGTTGTTTTCGTAATTTCATTTCCTAGGGTGGTCATTTTTCACATCAAATGTGAGGCTATATTTTAAGACCATTTAGCCTTTTCTAATCAATTTCACCAAAGAGTTTTTAAATAAGTAAACTTTCAGATTTTTTTCTCTAATCGTAAACATTGCTAAAATACATTTAGCATTACTCCAATAACTCTAATAATATCTATTAAATATATGGGGAGGAGGTTCCTTGATATAATATTTTCAAGAGTACAGTGGCTTTATGTATAGAAGAATTATAAAAGAATGTACAGAACTGACCTGTTCATGTGAGAGAGTCTCCATTTTAACAGCTGTACCCTCAAGCCCGATGGCTCCACCCACAGAGGCGGTGCTTTGTCTACGAATGCCATGAAGCTCTTCCTTCAACTCCGCCTCCATCTCGGCCTCCTCACGGGCGTCTTTGTTACTCTCCTCTAAATGTTTCATGAGCACAGCGACCACAACATTCACCAGCACAAACTGTGCCACTAGCACGAATGTCACAAAGTACAGAGGCGACAAAAGCGGCAGGTAACTCAGACATCTGTCATTTTTACATTCCCGCAGGGTATCCTAAACACACACACACACACACACACACAAAAACACAGAAATTGTGAGTTCTGCCAAGCTCAAAAAGTGACAAGACCTGATCATTTACTGTGTGTGGGAAACAAATAATCTTTTTGAAAGGTAATAGCCTCACTCTTAAACATCTGGAATGACACGAGGGTGAGTGTAAGTCTAATTAAGAGCTAACATTAAATATCAGCATTCCATAAACAGGTATTTATGACATGCATGAATAGTTTCATGGTTTGCAAAATACCTTCATGATTCCATTCCAGTTGTCTCCGGTGGAAACGCGGAACAGAGTGAGGAACGCCATGCCAAAGTTCTGAAATGTAGCATGTCTGCTCAATCCCTCACACGGGTTGTCCTCACTGCATTCTGATTTAAAAACAATTCATTTTAATACTTTATCCAAAATATACGTTTATTTGTTTTATGTAACAATAAGCACTACTGTTGAGTAGTGTGAGATATTTTGTACTGAATTAATACTTTTATTTAGTTAAGATGTATTAAATTGTTTAAAAGTGAGACTTAATTATATTTGTAATGTTACAAAAACATTCAAATAAATGCTGTTCTTTTGAACCTTTCTATTCTATTCAAGTAATTTTTTGTTCTCCACAAACATATGGAGGAACACAACTGTTTTCAACATTGACAGTAATAGAAAATGTTTCTTGAGCAGCAAATCAGCATATTAGAATCATTTCTCAAGGATCATGTGACACTGAAGACTGGAGTAATTGCCATCACAGGGATACATTATATTTTTACAATTTAAATAGTAATAATATTTCACAATATTACAGTTTTTACTGTATTTTTGATTAAATAATTCAGCCTTGGTGAAATAAGAGACTTTATTTGAAAAAAAATGTTTTTTCAAACTTTTTTAAACAGTAGTGTTGTGCAAGATAACAGGAAATGAAAAGTATACCAACCAAGCTTGCCAAAGAGTTCGACTCCCAGTGCTGCATAGATGAAGAACAGCAGCATAAACAGCAGACCCAGATTACCGACCTAGAGAACCAGAATATCACCAGAATAAAGCCACATAAACATACATCATAATCTGTGAAGTAATTCCACAATAACAACGGATATAGCACGTGATATATGAACTCACTGACCTGCGGTAAAGCTTGAACTACTGTATCCAGAAGAGATCTCATTCCTGTGGCCATCTTCAGCAGCTTCAACACTGAAAGGGAATGTAATATCACATTTCATTCCTCTTTTAATCATTTAGACATTATTTGCCACAAACCCAAACTGTACAGAATATATTACTTTTGTACTGGAAAGAATTTTACTGACCCCAAACTTTTGAATGGTAGTGTATATAAAACATTTTTAAAGGGGTCATCCGATGCCCATTTTCCACAAGTTGATATCTCATGAAACTTGCTAATTAGCACATTGGTAGGAAAGGCGATTTGCAAAGATTCATTTAAAAACCTTATACTCACTTCTTCTGTAGGTGAAGCTGGATCACGAATGATTCGCACGAACATAGACGCATTTAGGTAGATCGTGGGCGCATTCCTTTCAAAAACAAACGTAATCCACTGCGTCTTCAGCGGTAAGTACATGTCGACTGCTATGTTCATTATTACATCCAACAACAGAACACCTCAATCGCTTAGGAGTCATTCTTGTCTACTTCAGTTCAAACAACTTGTAAAAGTGCATGTAGCATCGGATGACCCCTTTAAATTTCCCATAGCTAAAAACGCTGGAAATGTCTCTTCTCTCTGGCACATCTTATAAGACCCTGTTTTATTTCTCACTTGTCACGGCTGGTGTGTGTGTCTGTCTTCGTGTATTTGGTACCTCTGGCGATGCGCAGCACCCTCATTATGCGTATGATGGTTGGGTTGATGGGTAGTGAGGCATTCAGGTCAATTTCCTCAAGTGTGATGCCCATGATGGAGAGAAGAACAATTGCCAAGTCTAACTGATTCCACCTGACAAAAACAAAACAAAACAATGAGATAAAGTCAAGGTCCTGTGAGACCATTTAATATTCTTGAAAAGAGCTAAACTTGACCCATTAGAGACTGTCAGAGGAAAGGTCTTTCTTTAACACTTTCTTTCTTTCTGGAACACGAATGAAAGACAATGGAAGATAATGTTAGCACCCCGTATTTTTAATTTATAAAGAGGAAATTTATTAATTTATAGACTTTTTGGGCTATTTTTCTCTGTCTCAACATCACAGGATGTGTCACAATGGTGTCTCATTATTATTCATGAGTCTGCATGGCCTCATCTTATGAGAAGGCCTTGTCTCATTATTATTCATGACACCATGTGACCTTTCTTTATGATAGGCACTTCAAACAGTGAGTTGATACCATTTTGGAACATGGGTCGCAAGTATTCACGTTTGCATGACATGCAATGCTGACAGAGTGACAGGATTTCAATCAAAGACTGACGCTTTTGAAATATTTGTGTAACAATCATTTTTTATAGTAAGGTTTGGAGAAACATTGAGGCTCAAGATGCAGTTTGACACTCATAGTGTCGGCATCACAGACACCATCTGTCATCACAGACTCACTTTAACACAAAAGTTGTTAATAATGTAAAAGCACATTCACATATATTTTTATGATGAGTGCAAATTGTCCCTGTATTTATTTGTAATAAATCACAGATAAAGATGCACATTTATTTGAAATATAATTTTGTTGTAACAATGTAAAAGTCTTTACTGAGAGAAAGATATACATTTTTTAAATAAATTAATGTTTATTCAGCAAAAATGCATTAAACTTATCAAACATGACACTAGACATGTATATTGTTACAAAAAATGACATTTAAAAAAAATGCTGTCATAAAAACTATTCATCAAAGAATACTGAAAAAATGTATCACTGTTTCCACAAAAATAATTAGACTATATTTATTTTTGTGTTGTACAAAAATCCCTAAACTTTTGAACAGGTTGTGAACTGCCTTTAAAGTGAAACAAAATGGATTGCAGTTGTTTTCTCCTCATTTCGTGAAATCCATGAGAACAGATCCATGCCGAAATGTCAATTTAAGAATACTACCAACTAGTGAAATTACAGTCTAGAAAATATACCTTACCTCTCTTTGAAAAACCTCCTAAAGCCAAAGGCAACCAATTTCAGCGCAGCCTCGATCACAAAAACCAGCGTGAAGAAATAATTACAGTACTTCAAACCATCATCCAGATACTGAGAAACACAGATATAGATAGTCAGACACATAGAATATTAAACTTGAATTCAACAGAAATGTAAAACTGACCATTTATTTATATGATCCTGGTCTTATAATGAATGATGCATCAGCCATTTAGTAAAAAATATGTCTGTCAAAATCTTTTCAAAATTGCTATGCCTCAGAAATAACTTTCCTTTCCGGTTAACATCACAAGTTATGTAACTCACACTTTTCATGATCCAAACAGTTTCTGATGCATAAATCTATATTAACTATATAACTATATTTGTTTATACTGAATACTGTTTCACTCTGAAATATGTCCGATTATGGAAGTAAAGTAGGTGTGAACCAGTGTTGTTATTGCTAACTAATATATAGTATAGAATGAATAAAAACAAAATGTATTCAATTTATTAAAACTAATAAAAATAACTAAAACACAACAAAAATTACTAACAATTTAACTAAAATTAAAATTACATGGAAAATATAAAAACTAATTTTAAATATTAATAAATGAATATAGTATAATATAGTCTATTATAAGATAGTATAGTGTTCATCTCAGTAGTTTAGTAGCACACTGGTGTGCCATTTTTTGTTGACTTAAAACATGCAATGCTAAAATACTGATACCATTTTTTCAAACAGGTTTTTGTTAACCTATTAATAGTGTCACTGCCCCTGCAGAAGTGATGTCTGTCTGTGTGTGTGTGTGTGTGTGTGTGTGTGTGTGTGATACACCAAACCTTGGGTTGTCTGTAGTGCTCCATTGACATTGTGAGCACATTAATGGCGATGATGATGGTGATGAAGAGGTCCAGATAATGGCTAGTGCAGAATGTGTGAATATAGAGGCGTGTTGGAGAGTAGTCTGCATAGTACGGCCTCTGCAGGGCCTCTGAAAGACAAAAACACACAGAGAACAATAACACCTTCATAAGGGTGTATTCAGGTCATTCAGGTACACACACACACACACACACACACACACACACACACACCTTGCATCACAGGATGCTGTGAATATCCTCAGCCAACATTTTAGGTTTAAAAAAGTCGGTTTTGTAATGCAGCTTTGAACTGAAATGAATACATGTTAATATTCACAAGATTTGTGAGGTTTCGTTGAACATAACTCAAGGGCAGGATGTGTGTTGTTAGTTTACTGTATAGGCTACTTTGTTGTCCCTGTCAAACACAAGCACACTGACCCAGTTTTTGTCTGGCCAGTAAACTGCTAACAAAGCAGTGTGTGTGTGTGTGTATGTAGTCACAGTTAGCAAACAGTTGAGTCATCTGAGGGACGTTGTAAATGTCCAGCCAAGCGTCCCCCAACATCCATCATGGCTCAAGACTGTTCAAGGTGTCTTTGAGAGAAGCTTTGTGAGCATTTGAGATAGAGAGAGAGAGAGAGAGAGAGAGAGAGAGAGCAAGTGATGTCTTGAGACAGCTAACTAATTCAGTTTCCATTTCAGGTATTCTTATAAAAAGTACTGTGGCAGTACCAGGGTAAACTGATGGTATATGATTTATACTACGGCATTGTGAATATTGCTTACTTATGTAAAACTCACCGCCTTGATGCTATGAAGATGTGAGTGTCTTTTAGCATTTTGCCACATGGTTGATGGGGCATTCTGGGATGCATTTGTGAGTGTTATGAATAAGTTGCTAAGACAGTTGCTTATTGTCCCAAAAGAGCCCAATATTTTGACCCATAAACATGGCCCCTAAATATGCGAACTACATGAAATACTAGGCCTGTGTAAAAAATATGGATTTCTTGATTTTAATCGATTTTCATTTTCACAAAACGATATCGATTCTTAAATCCCAAGAATCGATTAGTCTAGCCTGTTTTCAGTTAATGGACGGAACATTGTAGCGCGCCTCCCATCCAAATACATTGCAATAAGCTTTGTGCTTTGCTATTTTTGATATAAAAGAAAGTCTCAGATTTAAAATGATGTGCATTTTATTACAATATTCAAACAATAAATGCCATTTTGGTGCTGTTTAATGTGGAGTGACAGATCGCTGTAGCGCCTCAGTTCAGCGTGAAATAAACATGAATGAATGTCCGAAGATATGTTAAAAGAAAGAGCACATCTTACCAAAATCTGTATCCTATCTCATGTAATTGCTCAATCAAGCTCAAGCTTGTAAACAATGTCACAAAAAACATATTCTGTGACCATGAACTCTAAAGAGGAGCATTTTTCTAAATAGGTACAGTGGTGTGAAAAAGTGTTGGCCCCCTTCCTGATTTCTTATTTTTTTGCATGTTTGTCACACTTTAATGTTTCAGATCATCAAACAAATTCAAATATTAGTAAAAGATAACACAAGTGAACACAACATGCAGTTTTTAAATGAAGGTTTTTATTATTAAGGGAAAACAAAATCCAAAACTACATGGCCCTGTGTGAACAGTAATCAGGCCTGGGTGTGGCTAGAGAAATTGAACTCAGGTGTGATAAACCACAGTTTTAACAGGGGGACAAACACTTCTTCACACAGGGCCATGTAGTTTTGGATTTTGTTTTCCCTTAATAATAAAAACCTTCATTTAAAAACTGCATGTTGTGTTTACTTGTGTTATCTTTGACTAATATTTAAATTTGTTTGATGATCTGAAACATTAAAGTGTGACAAACATGCAAAAAAATAAGAAATCAGGAAGGGTGCCAACACTTTTTCACACCACTGTATGTGCACTGTAGAACATATTCATTATAATTTTTTCTGTTTTTAAATGTTTCATTTATGTTAAAATAAATCCATTCAGTTTTTTTGACAGCCACCATTAAAATGTTTCTATATAAAAAAAAGCGAATGAATTGGAGTAGAAATATATTTACCTAATTGTGACTTAATTATTATGAAAACTTCACTGAGTGTAATTTAAGCCCTGTATATAAAAATCAGTTCATTTGACTGACTCTCATGTATATTGTACAGCATTAGTTTGGCATGCACTATACCTGATGTATATCTAAAATAATCGACTCGAATCGGAAATGAAATCGAATCGTCAAATTTGTAGCAAAACTCAGCCCTATGAAAAATATAATTCTACCTATTGTTTAATCCCCACTCATGTTTTTATATCTATGTTACCTGACACTAGTACTTCTAAAGAAAGGTTGTTGTTAATTATAACCAAAGCACAGGATTAAAGTGAGATTTGAGGCAAGAGTATATGGTTTTACTCAAACTTATTATTATGTGCCTCCTGTCTAATTAAATTCTGGTTATGTGGTTTTGAAGTCAAACAAAGTCAAAGGGCTTTTGGAGAACGCGGCTGTGGAAATCACTACTAATTGTCTATTTCTACTGCTAAATACACATGACAGCAATTAAACTGTACTGTGCTAACCATGTGTGATGCAATAAAGTTACACGCAATAAAACCAATCTGTTCCATGCTAGTTTTATCCTTACCAGCAGTGACAAGCCACAAAATATGTTGTTGCCCTCTGCTCCTCTGAATATTAAAGTGGCAAAAAAAGGCCCAAAATCCATTTTGTTCTGAATTTTGCTTTCAGTGAAAACAGCAAAATGACTTTTTATTATGACACAGTCTGACTCTGTGCACACGTACAACAAACACACACTTACTCCTGCGCCTCTTCTCCATGCGCTTCTGTCTCTTCTCCTCTCTCAGTCTGGCCTCCTCTTCCTCTTGGTCTTGTCTACACTTGTGGAAGTTCTCGACCACCACACCTACAAACATGTTCAGCACGAAGAAGCTGACGATCAGCAGGAAGGAGATGAAGTACAGAAGCATCCAGGGATTATGATTCCTTTTGGGCTACAAAGAGAGAAGAAAGAAAACAGAGAAGTCATGTAGTCTTAAGGTGGTGACTTTGTTCAGTTAAAGAGGTGTAATTTTCATAAGGAAATATTTATGTGTACATGTGATCAACACAGTAACGTATACTAAGAATACAAACTTTATTTACTATATTGCACATATTTCTCCTACCATTCGTTTATGGAAATGCTGGATACTCACTCTTGGCATTTATTTAGCTGAATTTAGAGTATTTCTGCACATTAATTTAATCTTAATTCACTAATTAAGGGCTGTGAAAACACCTTGCAGTGAACTGAAAAATGCAGGTCATATGGCTTTTTGTTTTTTACATTAATTTATGTTCGTTTTGATGCTGCTCCTGTCTCCAAAAGCATATTTCTTCAAATCCACTCACACAGTATTCATAGTTAGTTTGGTAATGCTAAAGTATGTGCCAATGTAAATTAATAATATTCAGATATTCAGAATAATATGCCAGTAGTCTTAGTTAAACACTAATTAAACTTTAAGAATAAACGACTGAAATGTTGTAAAAAAAAAAATCTATTCAATATACACTAATGTTTAAATAATTGGGGTCGGTAAGATTTTTTTAATGTTTTTGAAAGAAGTCTCTTATGCTCACAAAGACTGCATTTATTTAATAAAAAATACCATAAAAACATTATAATATTACAATTTAAAATACCTTTTAATTTAATTTATTTTAAAGTTTATTCCTGTGATGGCAAAGCTGAATTTTCAGCATCATTACTCCAGTCTTCAGTGTCACACGATCCTTCCTAATGTCTAATATAACAGTTGTGCTGCTTAGTATTTTTGTGGAAAATTATACATTTTTTCAAGACTTTTTGGATGAATGGAAAGTTTAAAAGAACAGCATTTATTTGAAAAAAAGAGAAAAATCTAACATTATAAGCTTACTTTTACCTTTGATCTATTTAATGCATCATTGTTAAATGAAAGTATTATTTCTTTCAAAATAAAAAAAACAAAAAAACAAACAAACAAATATTTTACTTGCCCTAAAATTTCAAACAGTAATTTCATTCCAGAGACAAAGGAGCCCATCAGTAAGAAAGCAAAGACAGGGAATGTGACAGGAAGAAAGTGCAGAATGGAATGGAAACTCTGGACTTGTCTTATTGTATATGCAACACAATTGTATTTGTCACTACAGAAAAGATGGGCCACTGTAAAGGACACTATATAAACCAGTTGTGTTGAGTCTGTTACTGTCCATTGACTCAATGTTTCTGTGTATGTGTGTGTAAGAGAGAGTATATAAGACCTCTCAATGGAATTAAATGATGAATGTTCTGTCTCTCCTCCTCAACCTGCTCATTCTGGTGTCCTCCACTGTATTTTTTATCTATCTCTCCCTTTTTTCTTCAGTTCAGAGCTGAATTAATCAAACACTCGCTTTACCTAAAAACCTGCTGCTGCCTTTTGTGATTGTGTCACTTGAGCTTCAGGGAAGAAAAAAAAGCAGTAAATAGGGATGCACCGATACCACTTTTTCCAGTACTCGCCCGATACCGATACTTTTATTTTTGGTACTTGCCGATACCGATATTTGTATTGCATTTGTACATTTTTTAAATATTGGGTACAGAAACCAAAAGGGTATGTATAATGTTAGTTGGTTAACTTCATTTATCAAATAGATACAGTCAAACCAAAATTTATTCAGACACCAACATTTCTCACACTATCACAGTTTATTCGCTATAGTTTAGAACATGGTAATAAAATATGACAAGAACACAGAGTTAAACTGTGTCAGAACAAATTCATCTTGATAATGCTAGATAATTTTGATAGAAAGGTATGTAATAGATTACAATCAACCAAAATAATTCAGACAGCTGTTAGACAGTATTTTCACAACTATGAATACTTTGTCGGGCAGCCCTTAGCCTTAATGACAGCCTGTAGTCTCCTGGGCATGCTGTCACCCAGCTTCATGCAAACCTCAACTTCAGTTTTTTTCCCAGACTCGGTCTGAATAATTTTTGGACCCAAATTTGTATCAATTTTACTGGTAGTCCACTGTATGAAGAATTTTTGGGTATGATTTGTCACAGTT